GGTCGGGCACGAAAGTGGCCTTCGGGGTTTTGGCACGCCGATCCGGAAGTGCGTATAAATCACCGCTTTCCTCGGTCTTGTAGACTCTGCTCGCATCACTGCCGGACTTCAAGCCCTGAAAAAAAAAAAAAAAGCCGTAAAATTTGTTAGAAGCATTTCCTGCAATATTTTTTGTGGGATTCCGATCTGTCCACGAATTTTGCAATTTTATTGGCCAGCGAACAGATGTCGACTTAATTTTATGACACAAAACCAAGTCAAAGGATAGGTTGTTTTAAATGAAATAGGGCCTGAAGACGTTATGTTTCCCAAAAAACAATACCCCTCAGCATCACAGTTTGTTAAATTCATTTTCTGATTGTTTACCCGGCAAAAAATTATTATGTTTTCCAGCATAACTCAATTTTCTATGACGATTTTGATTTTCTTCGATTTTTTTTCTTCCGATTCTCCTTTCTTGCCTGAAACCCCGCACTTCCTAACTCCAAAATTGTCATTATAAAATACTTTAAGAATCAACTGATGAATATCATTGCCCTTACTGCAGTATAGTATATTTTCTTCAAGCCCAGCAATGCTGTAGTAAAGAATTTGCGTTTGAGGTAAAGGCGGAGGAACTATTAATTTAGGATTAGTTACAAATGTATGGGTATGATTTGTGATAAAAAATACTTCTTTTTGGAGTAAAACTATCGAACGTAGGGGTCTATTCAGCAAAAACGAGTGGACAATAATGTGAATGCGGGATGATGCATTTTTATATGAATTATGGGAATCAACGTGATACCATGTTGATGCGAAATCTTATGATATGCGGAAATTCAGGAAGCTACAGCAGTCTGTTTTTATAATTCTTTGAATCAAAACTTTTGCTCTCAAATCGATAACAGTATTTTGTAAAAAATATTTCCATCACCTGATATAATGTGCTGGATTTGGAGGGTTTAGGTGGAGGTGGCGGAGGAGCAGGAGGCGTCCTCTGGTGACTCTGTGATATACTCGACCTGCGAACTTCAGGCTTAACTCCGGGAGTTGGGCTAGGTGTCGCGCTGGCCACGGGAGAACCTGTCATTTTGACCGTGATCATGCCGGAGCCCTTTCTGCCTGTGCCCGCGTCCAATCGCGAGCTTCGCCTTGATCTGTCTT